TTGAAAGGCAGAGAGAGAGAAAGAGATATTTTTCATTGAGTGGTGTATTCCCCAAATGGCTAGACCAGCCCAGTCTGGGCCAGACCAAAGCCAGGAACCAGGAGCTCCATCCCGAGCCATCTTCTACTGCTTCTACATCAGCAGGGAACTGATTTAGAAACAGGCCAGCCAGGACTCAAGCCAGCACCCCAGGCTGGGAGGTCAGTGTCATAAGCGACAGTGCAACCTCAACAGCCACTGTTCCAGTCTACAGGCCTCGTGTAGCAGCTCTCTATCATCTCCCACAAATGCCAGCAAGCAGCAAGAACTGAAAATGTTTTTGCTGACCTGCAGTGACATGAAGGAAATGCAAAACACAAACTCTTGTAGCAAGGCAGCTCACCGGTAGCCGTATTCACACTCCCTCTTCCTGGATCCTGGCAGTTCCTGGGCAGCAGTGCCCACAGCGCCCGGCGTTCGGACCGCACCCACTGATGGCTGCTGTTCCCCCCATCAAGGGTGGGCTCTCTTGACTCTGCAGTCTAAAACGTCAGACACAACCTTACCTACACAGGGCACTCCATTTCTGCCTTCTAGCATCCGTGTGAACCGTGAGCTCACAGACTCACCAAAGCACCTATTATCATATCTACTAAAGGGGCTGGAGATGGAGGATTCTTACAGAAGTCAAGTCTAATTATCAAGTCTAAATAATCCTTTAATATATATTTTTATTTCATATTGTGTAGCTTAACTGTATCATTTCCATATTACTTAGAATCCAGAAATACTGATTACATGTATATGTGTGCACATCTATCTATTCGTATGAATGTAATTTTTATCCGATGTCTCTGTGTATTTGAAAATCAGAGGGAGGAATGGAGGGAGGAAGAGAAGGAAAGAGAGGGGGAGAAGGAGAGAGAAAAAGCGGAGAGAGGGAGGGAGGGAGGGAGGGAGAGGGAGAGATACGATCTTTCATTTGCTGGGTCACTGCCCACGTGCAATAGCCACACTGCACCGGGCCAAAGCGAGAAGGCTGAAACTCAACTTTGGTCTCCCATATGGGTGGCAAGGACCCAACTCCCTGAGCCACTTCCACTGCTCCCAGTGTGCGCATGGGCAGGAAGCCAGAACCGACCCGAATGAGGTGAGACTCCAAGCACTCCACGCTGGGATGCCAAGGCCCACGTACAGTCTTAACCGCTGGGCCGGCACCCACTCCTCTTTTTATTTTCCTGGCTGGTTTGCTGCTGCTGCTGATCTCAATGTTGATGCTACACATCATCAGAAAACCCAGGTTGGAAGACTAGACGCTGTCATTTAGCATCATATCGGCAACTTCAGCGTTGGCTTCGCCCTGGATCATGCATGTACCTCCTCAATCCACTGTGCGTTTGGATCCTGGGACTCAACTGGAGAAGGCAAGTTGGCCATCCAACGTCATCCCAGCCATCCCAACGTCAGCACAGGCTGGCTGCGGCCAGGCAGCGTGGCTACGTGGAGAGGACGGGCGGCATGAGGCACTCGGAGCTAGGAGAGGGTGAATGAGACACCACAACTTCAGTCTCCAGAGGACTATGCCAAGATCCGACGGGGAGAGCGTTTACAAGCGCAGCTCGTCCCGGACTGGATAGTGTTTCTCATGCGGTGAGAACTTGGGAAGCAATCAGGAGCACCGATGTTTTCCTTTAGAAAATACTGGAAGTAGCTACCACTGGCATCACCTAGATTTTCTAGGGAAAATTACCTTGGACACAGACCACACACTTTAAAAAAAAAAATAAAAGGGCAAATCTTTAGGTCCTAATTGCCTCTTTGAGGTAGCAAATATCTAAAACTAGTGGGAGATCTCCGGGTGGGGGTGGGGGCACAGGGAAGTCATGTACAGGTGACATCAGAAATTTGTGCCAAACTAGCTGTCTGAATACAATGTATGCACATTCCAGACACATCCTTGGAAAAGCCCAGTCAAAATTGGGGAAATAAAATACTATTTTTAAGGCTGGAGGGAGAGAAACGCTCACTGATATGTACGCATTCAAAGAAAAATGGAGGCGGCGAAAGAAGACAGAGAATGGTGGGAAACGTGCGTGCCACAAGTTAGAGGGATGGCTGACCGCGCACGGGACGCCAAGGGCGGGCAACGGCCCACGTGCTCCTCGTGCGCACAGGGAAACGCCTTACAGCTGCAAAAGCAATTAGGACACAGGACAGGAAGGACTCGGATTCACCACATGGGCCACTCTTCAGGACAAAGCATCTAGTGGAAAAACTGAAATGGGTCCTCACTGGGGAACTGGGGGATGGGGGAGAGCAGAGCCTTAAGAAGTTCGTAAAGACATGAGGGGTTTCCAGCTACACTCCCACCTTTGAAAACTATCCTTTAGTCATGGCTTTCCACTGAACTTCCCCCTGAACAGGGGCAGGCGAGTGACCACGGGCCAGCCATCGCCCCACTGTCCCTCCACTCACGCAAAAAAATTGAGCACGATTAGAAATGCTATTTTAGCTACTCCTTTTGTCAACAACAGTCACTAATGACCCAGTTTGAGGGAGGATGGGTGGAGCCTGGAAGGTTCTGGTCAAACAACAGTGCTGCCTGAAGATGTAAAAGAGAGTTTTTGAGGTAATTAAAAAAAAATTTTTTTTGGCAACTTTAAAGAGCGGCTGGCTTTATTATGTGCGGCGCGGCACAGAACAGCTTGCAGGCTGCAGATCAATACATTCCAGTTAACTTTCAAGTCATGTCGGCATGCAGCCCTGACGGGTTTATTAATTTAAATTTCAGCCCTCTGAAATGGTATGTCTGAAGAACCAAGCGCCCGGCGTCGTGGCTGCTGCACCGACACGGCCTTCACACATCAATGGGAGTCTCGAAACACCGAGAGATTACGTGGCCCTTCCCCTGCCTCTCCTGGCGAGGGTTTTTCCTTAGGAAGCCCTGGAGCCCTGGGCCTTTTTATTTAGAAGAGCACTTGGTATGGGTGTAGCGAACGCCCATGGCTTTTCCTCCGTGAGCCCCAGTGCTAACCAAAGGCGGAAACAAGAGTCCTGGGAGCTCTCCCACGGCTCCCGCCTCTGCTAGGAATAGCGTTTCCCCTCTCCCTGTTCCCTGGCACCTGTTTAGCTAGAAGGAAACCCAAAGTCTGCTGGCAGACACGAAAGGCTCATGGTTTTGCCTTCAGCCATCTTTCCTCGCCATGTTTACCTTCTGATTCTTCCCACTGTTTCCTTCTGGTAATTGCTTCTAAAGCCTCAGAAACCTGTAAATGGATTAACACCGTTTTGTGGACCTGCTGAAAAGGGCACTGGATATTCTGGAATTCTTGGTCCAAATTCTTGGATCAATTCTTGGTTTGTGTTTTAAGAAATGCAATCCAGGGCCTGGGATGGTGGCCTAGCAGCCTAAGTCCTCACCTTGAATGTGCCAGGATCCCATAGGGCACCGATTCTAATCCTGGAGGCCCTGCTTCCCATCCAGCTCCCTGCTTGTGGCCTGGGAACGCAGTGGAGGACAGCCAAAAGCCTTGGGACCCTGCACCCACGTGGGAGAACCGGAGGAGGCTCCTGGTTCCTGGCTTTGTGCCAGCTCAGCTCCAACCACTGCAGCCGCTTGGGGAGTGAATCAGCAGATGGAAGATCTTCCTCTCTGTCTCTCTTCCTCTCTGTATAAATGACTTTCCAATAAAAATTTTTAAAAATCTTTAAAAAAAGGAAGAAATACAATCAACTTTTACTGTTAGACTATGCCAAAGGGTGTGACCAACAGTGAAGCAGGGGCTCAAACAGTAAATCCTCAAACTAAATGCCTTGATTCCTGTGTCCCTTCTCCCCGCTACCAAGCTAAAAGAGGGCTGTCTACATCTCCTGCTGCTGGAGACTACATGAACAAGCTCATGTGAGGAATTCAGCATTGGCAACGCCATTATCATTTGAATATGGTCTGTCCTGATTGCATGCCAAGCTTGTGTTTCAAAATAAAAATGCTGATGCAGAATCTCTGATGTGCTCAGACCAATGGTTGCCTTCATGAAACTTACCTAGAACATTACTATTTTATTAGTAACTGCAATACATATTTGAGGAGCCAAATGGAACAATGACACTTGAGCTGCATTTTCATGTCAAGAATTTTCGATTAAAGGCACAGGTACACTTTTTATTTCTGACTGAATTCCATTTTAATCAAGATTCCTGGCGCTTTTTACTAGCGGTGAAACTGTGTTTAAATAGGGCCTTTAGGGTGTTCAAGTTACAGATTAATTAGCTCAATTTGGACCGGGTTTGGAGGGCAACTGTGTTTCCTGAATCTCTAATTTTCTCTCTGGCGGTAGCCAAGTTCCCCTAGACATTGGCAGCTGAATCAGTGCACAGGCTGAGTGACAAAGCAGGCTTCCTGTGAGAGCCAGGAGACCAGCAGCAGTTAGCTCACCGGGATGACAAAGGACTAACTGACGCGTGGAGCTTCACTCCTTAGCTGTGGGCCCCCCGGGGACATGAAGGCACAGCTCTCGTGGAGGTCTCCTCCTCCGCAAAATGAGGACAAGGACGCCTCCCCTGAGGGCTGGCGGAAGCAAGGGGCGAGATGCTTTGCGAGGAACGCTCCGTGTGCTGACACTCTAGTAGCACTTGGGAGAGAGGCTGTCACTGTTGCTGCAGTTTTCACTTCGCTGCTGTGCAATATGACGTGGTACAACTGTCTAGAAAAGCGGTCAGGGAGAAAGCAGCCTGCGTCTGCCCTGGGCAGTGCTGGGTCCCCCTCTTCCCTGTCTGCTGGAACTCACGCACTCACCCTGGGGTGAGCTGGTTCTCTGCTGGTCCAGCTTCGGACATATCCAGGACTTCCCAGCCTCTCAATGACCCTCCCTGGAGCCCATCCCATTTGGTCTTCAAGTTCAACCTCTGCTCCAAAGGGTTCCCGGACACTAGGCGGCCTGTCCCTGCTCTGTTTTGATGACATTCCAGGAGGTTTATGTCACAGAGTGCTCTTCACATTTCATCTCGAGCTGATCATCTGCATGTTACATCACCAAGTGCTCTGTCAACTGCCCCACGACAGGGACCATGTCTGACACAGCTCTTCACCTCTTTCACCGCATCTCTCTGCAACTAAGAAATGCTTGCTGACTTTTCTCATAAATTGGATTTATCTGAGCCATTTATTATTATTTTTTCCTGAAAAATCACACACTTTTCCTTTTATAGTTTTGGTTCCCTGGTAACTCTATGCAAGCACCACACATCATTGTTCACTGTTGTGCTATATGCTGTGGACCAGGTGGGGTTTTGATTTGAGGTACTACGGCCTACTGGGGGAAAGATGGTGAGTACACATACCACCCTCTCACCAATTCTTCCAACAAAAGACCCCTTTGGGTTATTTTTACATTTGACATTTCGGATGGAATCATGGTTACAAGAAATGTTTCATTTTTCTTTTCCATTCCCATAAGATAAACAACAAAGAGGCAAAAGCCATGCTTTCTCAGCCTCAGGGCTGGCAATTAAAATAAGTAAAGGAGAGAAGGGAGGGAAGGGAGGGAGGAAGGAAGGGAAAAGGGGAGGGAGGGAGGGAGAGAGGAAAGAAGGAAGAAAGGGAGGGAGGGAGGACTGACGGACAAGGTCTGGCCTAGCAGTTAAGGCACCCACGTCTCACATCAGAGTGCTTTGATGGGCTCTGAGTCCTGGCTCCACTTCTGATTCCAACTTCTTGCTAATGCCCAACCTGGGAGACAACAGACGACCCATGCAGTTTGGTACTGGCTGCCTACATAGGAGACACAGCTTGCGCTCCGGCTCCTGGCTCAGGCCCAGGGTTGGCCTGGCTCAGCACTGGCTGCTGTGGTCACCTCGGGTTGTACTAGTGCATGGAGTTCTGGTGCTGTCTCTGTCTCTCACTGTCCACTGCCACTAATCCCTGTTCTTCATCCCCCTGATAACTCAGGCCAGACTAAAGTGTGACTTTCTTTTCCACGTCATATGCCGCATCACGTCTAACCTTGCCTTGTGCTTAAAAAAAAAGAAAATGAAAAACAAAAACAGTTGCCAAAGACAATCTCAAATAAATCTCTATTTTTCATTTATCAGAAATTTCATAAAATCTAGATTTCACAGCAGTTGTTGAGCTCTCACTATGGACAACACAAGCATGTCCAAAATACGTTCCTCTTCCAATGAAGTCTTCCCAGCACACTAATGAGATAGCCACTATTCCTGCTTTAAATCCTGATTGGGAAAACAGAGCACTAGGAACGTTGACCTAGCGCAGGCCACGGAGTGGCTAAGGAGAATACCACAGACTCAAAGCCAGGGCTACCAGTATAAACTAAAGCTAGCATCTTCCACTCTTCACCACTTCCCAAGTCCAGGACAGCTGCCAACAGGACTGATGTTAACCTACTAGATGCCTAACAAAAGGCTCATTAACATAGGTCAGAATAAAGGCTCTGATAATCACTTCATATCTTTTTGTTTATAGGCACAACAAAACTCATAATTAAACAAAAGAATTTAACCCAAGTTCCTGGTATCAAGGACAGCCACGGTCACACAAATACCTTCAGAGAATGTCAAGGCCAAAACACCAAAACCAAAAGCAAAACAAAAAAACCATTGCTAAATGTATTTCAGCCTTCCAAAAGAAGACATATAAAGTACACTGTGAGGGAAGTCAGCTGGCTTTCTTGCTTGGCTTTTGCTCTTCACTATTTCCATTAAGAAGATGGTCTCTTCTCCAGAGTCTCACTGGTCCAAGGGCATCATTCAAGCACAGGAGGGTGCCCAGAGCCTCGAGGCTCAGTTGCCACTGCTCACTTCTGCTCTTCATTGTTCCCTAAGGAACAAAAGCAGCAAAATATGCAGGCAGGATTCACTGCTTTTCTTCGTAAATTGTCAGGTTGTTTAAAATCCACCAGATTTAGTGTTGCCCTTACTATGTGCTAAATCTAAGAGATTTTTATGGGATTAAGTAGGGAAGCTGAGTTTTGGTGGAAGGAAGGAAGGAAGGAAGGAAAGGAGGGAGAAAGGGAGGGAGGAAAAGAAAAAAAGGAAGAACAAAAGCTAAACCATGAGGGCCGGATGGGTCCCAAGCTGCCTCTCATACAGAAAATCAGAAACGATGCTTGGTCTGGTCCCAGTGACAACTGCCCTTAGCCCTAAAATTCCCAAGAAGGAACCTGGGGAATCATTTATTTCAGCTTTTTGGTCACTGCATCCTTTGTTTAAAGAGTATCAGAGGCGGAAACCTAAAGTGGAAAGCAGATCAAAGTGCAGCGACTGTGATGGGGAGAGGGAAGGGGCTGGAACCCTGCCCAGTCTTCCCCTCCCCTCCAGCCTGCCTCCCAGGAGAAGCCTTGCCGGGGATCTGAGGAGCAGCCACAGCTTTGAAACTTGTTTTGGCCACAACTCCCTGTAAGAAATGCATTTCATTACATACTCAGCACAGGTTACACACACATGCAGGGCTGGAACGCCAATTTCACTAAACAGTACTGATTTCTGACTTACACATGTGAGTGCCTCAGACACTTTGAAACGGATTTTTTCATTTGAAAAATAAGAGAGAGTGTGTGTGAATCCTTCCTGGTGTCTTATGTGGGGGGCAGGGGCCCTTAGCATTTGGGCTTGATCTGCTACGCTGGCAGGAAGCTGTACAGGAAGCAGGGCAGCCAGCACTCAAACCTGAGTCGTGCTCAGCTATGGATGCCAGAGACTCAATCAAGGGACAGCTTAACCCACTGTGACACAGACCTTCGTTCTGTCTCAGATGCTTTTCTCTCACACTTAGTCTATTTCACTTCAGAAATATTCTTTCTAGTCAGCTAGGCAGACAGTCCCGGCCACCAAGTGTGTTAAACACACTGCAGTCAACGACTTGATCCAGATGGAAGAGCAGCTGCCCACCCTGCAGGTCCTTCCCTTGGTCACCACCTGACGGAGCTCGGAGGGTGCAGATGCAGGGCTGGGTCCCTTCACCTAGGAGGACCAAGCGCCCTTGTAGGCAGTGGGAGCTGCTGACCTACAGTGACAATTACTGTGTGATTCTATCACAAATCACGGCATGCACCATCCTGGTTCCCACCGCAGGAGACAGAGAAGCAGGGAGGACCAGACAGAAGGTGACGAAAAAGAAGGAGACGAGAGGCCACACCTCCTGTGTGGGTCTTTTTTTTTCCAGTCTATTGCCAAGGCCCAGTTTTACTTTTGTTTGGGCTCCAGAAAATATCCCATATCCTCACCATCTTATTTAAAACAATAGTAAGAAAACAGAAGGAAAAAAGAAGAGGCCACAGTAATGACAGTGTAATCATGATAAATGTAATCATGGTAAATGTGATCAGAAGCTGTTATTAATTATAAGATCTACTCATGTCATAAAATGTCACCAATATGAGGAAAGAAACTCTCCCCCCAACTGAAAAAAACAGACAGACAACATTTTTGGCCAATTATAAAAACCGAAACACAAAACGCAATGTTTGCCAACACGTACTTGCAGAAAGAACTCGAAGCTCTGCGACTTTTCCACTCACAGGACGACTGACTCAGTTCACTGACAGCCACGGGTTTTAAAGGTTTGACTGAACATTCTGCACGGACTTAAAAACAGTCCATCTCCAATACCCTTGACTTAAATGTGTGTCCCTTGTCACCTTTCATTTTAGCAAGAAATCCTAAGAAATATACCTTAGGGGGAAAAAATCCGAACCACAGTAAACCTCTAACAAGGCTGCAAACATATGCACTTCCACACCGAATCACAAACTGGGCTTTTACAAATTTCCTTCTATAAAAATAAATAAGGGAAAGTAATAAAAAAAAGATAAAGCCTTCGTACAGAACTGCAGCAATTATACCCCCACAGCTACACTACAACCTAAAACTTTCCAAACGCTTTGATTATTGAACCATGGCTCAAGTGAATAATTTGCTTTTCACTAAGAAAACCAGCGCATTCATTCTCAGCACAATGAGGAGAGGCAGTTTTAATTACACCTTATCAAAAGATGAATAAAGCATAAACTCAATAGCCATTCCCCAGAACTCTATTTTCATCTGTTTAGTTTAAGCTCGCCATGTTCATGCAATAATTATCCGCCGTCCCAGGAATGCCAGAGTTGTGTTAATGTTGGTAAAGATTTAATTAGCTCAATTGTCTGGAGAGCACTGAAGTGCAGCTCAGCACAGCACAAATTTCTTCAGGCTTTATACATACCTCTGATCAAAATATACGAAACTGAAATCTAAGCGAACAAAAGACTCCTACTTCCACAAGTCTACTATCGAGACAGTCCCACACTTCATAATTTTATTGCTCTAATTAAAGAAAAACATGTGTCTTTAGAAGTACAGCTCATGAGCAAAGCCTTATCTTGGTGTGAGTGTGTGAGTGTGTGAGTGTGTGTGTGTGTGTGTGTGTGTGCACAAAGTGCATGCTGTTAACTTCCTTAGTCTGTAAATATGTTCCTAGAAAGTTAAATTTGCCTTTTAGATAAATATTAACATCCAAAGGTCAGTTCTTTCTTTAAAAAGATCCTATCTTTCCCCCACGTAGGCTACACACACTACCTTCTTCCTGGAAAGTATGCCCCTGAACAGCACGGGGCCGAGGCCACACAGACAGCTGACCGAGCGGCTGTCAGGCACCAGGGACAGACCCGAGGGTCCACTGCAGAGAACAGGTTGGCCCCCAGCCGCCTGACCTTCCCGGTGGGAGAGAGATCACAGCGCTGTGCTTGACAAGCTCAGCAACAAAGAGGCACATTCAAGTCCCCCCAAATCAGACACGCTTCTCACAGGGAGAAACGCAGGGCCAGGGAGAGAGAGACAACCCTTCCAGCAAGGCCGAGTTCACTTAGATCCAAGACAAGCGTCTCAACCGCAACACAAAAATTATGTGTTTAGCAAAGTCGCAGGCACCGTTTTACCCCTTGTTTATAACTTCAGAGAGCCTCGATGTGGCCACTGCCAACACTTCAGCTCCCGGCCCATCAGGATCCATCCCCAGCAGCGCTGTAACAGCAGGGCAGGCCCCCGAGACCACTACCCTCACCCCACAAAAGCTTTCCTAATTACTCTCCCAGCTCTCAGAAGCTGGCTCCTGCAAATTTCAAAGCTTTCCCTTTCTTTACACACAAGTTTGGCCTTTATTTTGAAACATGTCCTCTTCTTCCAGACTGACACAAACACATTTCTCATTCCTTGCTTTTATTTTTGCCATCTACAGTGGGGTCTTTTTGAAGATTCTGAAATGAGCCAGAAATCTAGCAAAATGGTCGTTAAAAAATGAGAAAAAATATAATAAAGCAATGTCTTTTTGATTGAAAACAAACCTCAAGTTAACTTAGTTACCACATAGAAATACACAGTTTTTTCCAACCTTTTCTGTCAGATTTTTGTTGTAACATCCCACTTGATCAATTACTGGGTGTGTTCAGTTTGTATGTTCTGAGTCATATACATTCCAACAGATCTATTAATATGTCACATTTTGAAGCATTAAGCTTCATGTGGAAGATAATGATTTTTTTAAAAGATTACTTATTTTTATTGTAAAGGCAGATCAGGTTTGTGGAGAGGAGGAGAGACAGAGAGAGCTTCCATCAGCTGGTTCACTCCCCAGGTGGCCACGGCAGCCCGAGATGGGCTGAGCTGAGGCCAGGAGCTTGTTCCTGATCTCCCACGCTGCTGCGAGGGCCCAAGGCTTTGGACTGTGCAAGATCACAAATTTAAAAGGGAACTACAATTGCACATATAATCCTTGTAAATGTGTATCTCCTCTCCTTTCCTCTCCTCTCCTCTCTTCATTCATTCATTCATTCATTCATTCATTCATTCATTCATTCAGAGTTCAGAGTTCAGAGTTTTTAGTCCAGACCTCCCTGAATCACAGAGGTATCATTCCCCGGGCTCAATCCAACTTGTGATCTTGAAGCCAGGCCTAATTTCATCAAGATCAGACAACTTTTTCTACAACTAGGTTCTGCACATTCACATTCCTGTCAACGCACAGACTATGAGAAAGCCTCGGTGAGAGGGAGGCCAGCGCGTACTACACAGCACATCCTGTTTTAGAACAGAAGGCACGGCTTTGCATATCGGACACAGGTTAGAATAGAGGCTCATATTGCCAGGTAAAAGATAAGGCTCTGTGGGTCAATGCAGAAATGCACACATCTGGAAAAAAAATTGCCTTAATTTTAGACCTAGACAGTTTAATCTCAGAAAATTCTGTAAGGAAGTGGAGCAAAAATAAGCTGTATCAAGTGTGTGTGTGTTACAGTTTTTGAGTCCTCATTTGGGGGCAGAGTGGGGAGGGTGAGAGGAGGCCTTCTTTGAACTTGCAAAGAACAACACGAGTACAGGTGAGTTTTACCTGTTTTCCAGCCTGCAAAGACTCGATCTGCCTCCAAAAGTCAACCTGAGGCTTCAGAGTATTTTTGTACAAGAACAAAGGATGCTTGGGCTGGGTTTGTAACCCAGTCACTTTCGCCACACAATTCCCTTCCTTTGTGCTGGTAAAGGGGGAGACTTGGAGCCCTCTGGTGCTGAAAGATCTTCAGGCGGACAACGGTGTGCAAGCAGCCCCCCGGACCTAAGTCTGGCTGGGACAACCTCAAGGCCAAGGCGACAGCTTTGAGAAGGGACCTCTGCCGTGATTTGCTTCTGCTCTCACCCGACAAAGCCTGACTGACAACACTGAAATCTCCCCCTTTCTTTGGCTTAAACCCCCTTTTCAGGACAAGTATGCAAATGTTATGTGTGGCCCTGGGTTAGAGGCTCCCCTTGCCCAGCTATCTGTTCTGTGTGGCCTGCCACAGAGACCAGCCTTACAATTCAGCATCTTTCACAGCCCTGACTGTCAGATTCCTGGCCTGCCACCACCATTAAAAAGACCTCATTTGTTTGTAATTAACTATTCTGTGCATATTTCCTAAGGTGTGGTAATTGTGCTAAAAGCCAACAAGTGAGGTATTCATTCCAGTCTCACCCCCTTTTCCTCCCTCTGCCTTTTTGCTGCCCCAACTCCCAGCCCGGCGGCTTTCTCCTGCTCCTCCTTGGGAGCATTTCAAGTGCAGAGAGGCACTGAAGGTGAAAACTGGAAACCTCAATTAAAAAGAGTCTAAAAGGCAGAGCTGGCTGAATGAAGAGTCACAAGCAATGTGAAAGTGAATTAAAAATGAAACCAACTGTCAGCAGAAATAAACATGTATATGAGTTCCTATCTATTTTGAAAATGGTATTATGCAAAGTCCTTGCCTTTAGATTTCAAGCTGTAACAGGAGGTCTTCAAGAAGTTCATGAAAAACTCACATTATGAAAAACCTATGCATGGGCATCAAAAACAAACTGCTGTGTTAATGTAATTCCCATGAGCATTTTGAAGTAAACTCGGCCATATAATTTAAAACCTTCTACATATCTATTTTCTTAACATCTGATTCTTTCCCAAATTTATTTTTCCTCTGCATTACAGATAAAAGGTACAAACAAACAAGGTCTCACAAGACAGAGGTGTGGCCAAGGACCGCAATCTCTGACCGTCACAAACTTTCCAAGTCCTGAGAAGTGGGTGTGGGACCTGCCAGGGCTGTGTTTTATTCTCTCAGGCACGGCAGGGTGTTGGAGGTGATCTGAGGTGAGGATGACACTTCTCTCTCAGGTTTTCAGCCACCACGTGCTGCTGCTAAGCTAGAGACAGGTTAGATCAGACCGGAAAGCAACCAGGGCTCCTGTGCAGCGTCGGCAGTCAGCCCACAATCACACAGACAAGTTCATCTTGGCATTAACAGGACATGCTGCTTTGTTAAGAAACTCCAAAGGACAGCCTTTTGAAAAAAAAATCCACTGAGATAAGCAGCAGATTAAAAAAAAAAAAAAGAACCCCCCCCCAAAAAACCAAAAAAACAAACTTGAAGCACGAGTTCTTAGGCTGACACAATTCTCTTAGCTTTTCTCTTTGCTTTTGGCTAGATCACGTTTTCCTGCTGTCTGTAAGTATCTCATTGCCACTATTTCTAGTGCTAATTTTTCAGTGCTTCTTAGGGTGTGATAGAAAATAGTTAACATGTTAACTTATAGAATTGCCCTGTAGTTGCAAAATGAGTTGAGCTAGTTTGCAGATTCTTCATCATGTGTCTAAGGGGGAGAATCTGGAAATGAGAGAGAATCCAAGAGGCCGGGCCCGCCCCGTCGAGAAGGGCTGGAATGACAGTGCCTACCAAGACAGAGGCCTGCGACTCAGCCAAGTTTCTTGCTTCTAACAGTAATATTCAAGATTTCTGCATTGCAACTGGTTTGGTATGTGTGATTCTTCTTAAGGTTTGTTTTTTTTTTTTTAATGTAAGTGGGTTTTTAAAAACTCTTAATAGTTTATGCTTAATCTGTCTTACATGAGCTATCACAATATTGTTCATTCTTCCCTTAAAAGTTCCCAAATTACTAAACATTAAATTGCTTATAAATTTTGGCTACACACCTTAGGATGGTCAAATATCCCACAGTTTATTTGGGTTCAGGAAAAACTGGACTTAAAGTTCACAGACATCAGCCTTCATATTTAAAAAATGAACAAACCAACCTCTGCACACCAAATGCTGAGTATCCAGGAAGGCAAGAAGATACTCAATTATCTCTTTCAATTTTGAAAATGGACTTAAATTTTTAGCATGGAGAATTAGTTACTGCATTTAAGGAGCCATTGTTCTTTTGCATTTCCCTTAAATGGTGTAACGTATCTTGACATGAAATTCTCCATATTCACACAAGTTAAATCAAGGATACTCACTTTACACAGATACGAGAGCAAAGCAAGAATACTCTTCAATAAGATAAGGCATTAACATACGGTTTTTGGTAACCACACTGCATGCATGTTGACATAGGAACTGTCCCCATGACAGTACCACAAAACCTATGGGATGCAGCAGGACTAGGTCCTCATCCAAAGACAAAGTAGGCGTTAGTTACAATTTTTAACATGACATTAGCTACAGATGGGAATGGAATTTCATATAGTTTCTTATTTCCAAGATATAGTTAATTGTACTGTACAAAGTAAAGGAAAAAAATACCACATCTTCTGTCACAGTTCTTCAGATGATTCCTGAAAGGACCTTCCAGCTCTAAGATGTTTTAATTTCTCCTGTGCTTGGTCAGGAAGTCATACATATTTCCCCAAGGGTGATCTCTCTGAAACCTAAACTTTCTCCCATATCGTTTAAGTCCCTCTGAAATCTGGCTATAAATTACTTTTCCAGTTTTAAATTACTTTAAAAACTCCCCCTAGTCCTGGTCCCTCAGCTCTGCCAGACTGCTCTCCACGCACGCTGAACTTTGTGACTCACCTTTGCTCTTGGTAAGAAACCCTTCTTTTTGTCCTCAGGAAAAATCCAATTCCTCCTCTGCTCAAAATATCTTCTGGAAAATTACTACCAGCTCCTCTGGCGAAATTATCATCTGTCTTATAATGATAGCTTCATGTAAACTTCTACTGTATTTCTTTCATCTCAAAGTTTAAATGATTTTATTGGTATCCCTAAATCACAGCCGTTGAGAAGCTACACATGTACTGTCTTCTCCATGATGGTCTACTGCAAACCAGTATGTTAGACGCACAACAAAATACTTGCTGGTGTGGCTGTTTGACCCAATGTTTAACAGGCTAATTAGGATGCTTGTCGCATCCTTGAGCACATGGGTTTGACCCCTGGATCTGGCTCTGACTTCAGCTTCCTGCTAATGCAGACCCTTCCAGTGCAGGGTCCACACCCAATTTCTGGCTCCGCGTTTTCCCTCTCTCACTTCGTTTCTGCTGATTCTGACATCGAGTAGCTTTGTCCTCACATCCATAACCACCTTGACTTCTTTCCACTTCACTAAGAAACTGTCCCAAATCTCTAGTTTCTCTTATTTGACCTCCTGGTTGCCAAATTGGGCTTTAAGAGCTCATCTGTCTTAACCAAGCAATCAATGAGGAAATCACGTCCTTACAGACACGATGTGATGAGAACACTTAACCCTAGTGGAATTCTTCCTCAAATCCACAATCCCATCTAAGCATTAGAAACATACCAGGAAGGAGGTACTACCAAATATCTGAATAGCACTCTTCAAAGCATCTAGATCATGAAAAACAAGAACTGACCGAAAATTGATCACTGACCAGAGGAGACAAAGGAGACAAGCCAACTAAAAGCAATGTAATGCATGCTGAAGGGACTTCTGGATCAGGAGAAAAAGGCAAAAAAAGAGGTGAAATCCTAATACAGCTGTGGCTTAGTGAATAGTACACTCTGTAGGTTCTCAGACTAACAAATGTACCAGGGTTAAAAAGGATGTCCCCATTAGGGGTTGGCTGGAGGATACACCTCTATGCGCTGGCTTTGTTAATCACAATGCTAATCAGACTGCTGCTCATGTTAAATAGTGATTTTGGATTCTGCACTCCAAAATGCACCTAGATTTCTAAGTGCTTTTATATCACAGCTGGGCACGTTTGCGCTGTGTCAGCCAGGGCTCTGCTGCAAGGAACTCAAGTCCTGTAATCAAGCTATGCAAAATGACCTGAAAGCTTAGTTTCCTGTGGTCAGAGTCTCTCTCTCTCTCTCCAAGGTCAAACAATGGAAAACAAACAGGCAGTAGTCTGTAGCGAAGCTGCCACATGGAATGCTCAGACCTGCCATGGAGTGCGTGAGTCCCACAGCGGAAGCCCCTCTTGATTCTAGCTTCCAGTGAACATGTACCTGCAGGGGCAGCAAGTGATGTCGCCTCCCCCCTGCCACCTGTAATTCTATGATGGCACCTGTACAAACACGACAATTTATTACACTCCAGAAAAATTCTGATCTTAAACTGATAGAACGGGACTAATGTTACATGAGCACATTTTTCTATTGAATAATAATGTCCTCAAACAGCAAAATCTTATCCATATAATTGGTATCTTAGAGTTTATGTACTGATGTAGAGCAACAGTTCTCATACTTTTTAGTGTTACTTTGATTAAAAAGATATTTGGTATGGAGATGGGAGGGACAGAGAGAGAAGAGAGGGCAGGGAGCAGGCACCCATCCCAACATCCCACGAGGGTGATGGGAATCCAATCCCAACATCCCATGAAGGTGATGGAATCCAAGTATTTGGTTCATGCTCTGCTCCCGCCCAGACACATTAACAGGAAGGAAGGCAGCAAACATCGAATCACCAGGACTTCACCCAGTGCTGCTGTATGGATGAAGGCATCGCCATGTGGCCGACTCACCTGCAGAGCCACAATGCCTGGACTTTTGGTCCAAAAGCCAACTTATACTCTACTAAGAGATGCCACGTATCGTCTTTGGAATACAGGGACTTAATCTAAGGGGAACTCATAAACCTGAAGGTGATACATGCAACATCTGGCCATTCAAGTCCAGAAGCCTTGTGTGAAGTTCAACACAGTGCCTGAAAACGTCAGGATGTGTATTCCCAGCAGAGACAGGTTTGGTCTGTGGCGAGGAGACAAATCAAGCCCGCAAAGCAGGGAACGCCCTGTGAAGGCAGAGCACATGGGCTAAACTGAGGTCAGAGACAGGACAGAGGTGGGTGATGAGGGCAGGCTTATACAAGCCACACCTTTCCCCTCTCATAGCACACATGCCATCTCCAGAGCTACCAGGCTTCTCCTTAATGCCATCTGAAGACTAGGGAACTCACCCATAGACGACCACCCTCAAGTCTTCCATTAAAAAATAACCCAATAATATTTTTACTCAAAATAGTGTAACAGTTGAATTTTCTAATCAACTTGTCAGCTGTTAACACATTGAGTTGCTGTGGAAGAATAAAAACCCCTCCCTTTTGCTGAACCATTTCAACTGGAATTTTATGAACAACATTTTTCCCCCCTCCAAGTTCATCATTTGGACCACACGATCAGATTCCCAAATGAGCAGATGATTGTATTCACAATGACATTTAAATTTTCAGATCTGACAGAACTAACACAGTCTATCTTGACAACTATATGCAGTAGCTTAGTGTTAAGCTTTTTATGCTGAATACAGAATGGAATGGCTTTTGCACTGGTGTTTGGGCCGGCAGGTTTTAAGATTCCTATTCACGCAGACAGGAGTCTGAGGCTGTCCAATAAAACAAACCATGGCTATTTAGTAACTACTGCACAAAATGCCTCCATATTTAAGGGGAAAGAGAAACTCAAGGTGAAGACATTTTAAAAATATA